GTTTCTTAGAAAACTAAACATAATTCTTACCATGCGATCCAATAATCATATTTCTTGGTACTTGGATATTTCATATCCATGTTTCTCCTCCATTTTTCTTGGAGACAAAACTTATGTCCATACAAAAACCTGCACACAGGTGTTTATAGAAGATTTATTCATAATTCCAAAACTTGGCAGTAAGATATCCTTCAGGTGGATGGATATATAAGCTATATATTCCTGATAATGGAATATTATTCAGAACTAAAAGGAAATGGACTATCAAGTCACGGAAAGACATGAGAGTGCCATAAATGCATATTACCAAATGAAATAGTCAATCTGAAATGCCTACATGCTGTTTGATTCCAACCATATGACAGACGTTCTAGAAAAGGTAAAACTATGGAGACAGTAAAAAGACTAACGGTTGCTGGGGTAGGGGTGTGAGAGGCAGATAGGGGAAGAAATTAAGAAGCTGAGCAGAGAGGATATTTAATGCAGTGAAAATACTCTGTATGATGTTATTATGAATGGATACATGCCATCATACCTTTGTCCAAACACACAGAATGCAGATCCAAGAGTGAACCCTAATGTAAAATATGGACTTTGGGTACTAACGATGTGTCACTCGAGGTTCATCAACTGTAGCAAATGTAGCATCTAGTTGAGGGATGTTGATATTGGGCAGGGAATATATGGGAAATCTCTGTACTTTCCCCTAAGTTTGGCTGTGAACCTAAAACTGCTCTTTAAAAAAGTCTTAAAAATGCAAGAGATGAGGGACAAATGTTGCTATCTTTATTTTACACATAGAGAAATTAGAGGTCAGAAAGTTACATAGAATTAAGTGATTTGCAATAACTTTGCAGGTAATAAATGGAGCGAGACAACAGAAGAGTTTTTTAGACAAGAGGGATACTGGGGAGGGGGCGACATAGTTGCATAAAATTGCAGGGCTTGTTTAGGTAATGATGAGTTATTGTGTTTCAAATCATGAAACAAATTGGCTATTTAAACCTTGGAAAATAGGTAACAAAATGGTTTGGGAGAGTTCCTCATGTATTTCCCCCAAAAGTTAAGGTTTTGAACCTGAACAATAAAAGCTCTGATGAGGCATTCAACCAAGGTAGCATGCCCAGAGCAGAAATAATCCTGAACTTGGTGAATGTGAATTGAACTCAACAAGAAATAGAACAAATTGATGTAATCACTAACTTAAGTGCTTTTAATTTTTTTTTCCTTTCCTTTACCACCCCCCCCCCCCAAATAATTAAGTACCAAATCAAGTAAATGGCCTCTTTTCAACACGGTCTGAGTCAATGTTCTCTCCTGGTATACAGAAAACCACTCTCTGGAAGCAGATTCGTATCATTGTTCACCCTGAGTATTGCAATGCCCTCCTACATCCCTCTTGGCTTTATTATCATCTTTTCCCATCTTCTTAACCACCACAGAGAGATCTATACAAACAGGAGCTTTCCTTCCAATCCTTGAATGTTTCCATTGGCTCCCCCTGACTTTTCAGGATTAGGTAGAAATGCTTTGCAAAGCTCTTAATGATCAGGCTTTACTTTACGGCCAATTACGTGACCTGTCGCTTCTCCATATGCACGTCGTCCAAACCAACAGCCCACGTTTCTCTCAACATGTCCCTATTTGCTTTTGGATGAACTATCTCCTATCTGAATGCTTTCCCTTCTCTTGTGCATCGAAACCCTTCGACAAGTGAGATCCCAAACTCTGAAGTAATTTTGATTCTCTCTTCCTCAAATTCCATTTTTAAAAAAGTGACACAGTCTTTCTAATGCCTTTATAAAGCCCTTGAGCTAATTGCTTTCTTTTTCACTCTGATGAGCACTTTATTTCAGTTCCATATCATATCCCTCTTTAGCAGTCTTAATACTGGTAGCCCTCGATAGAAAGTCGGATAGTTGCCCTCTGGGAACTCTGAGCCCCCTGCCCTGCATACCTAACCCTCCTGTTCTGAACCTGCCTGCTTTTCCATGCTGATCCGCCGTCTTCCTCATGGATGTGGCTATCCAGCCACTCCACACTGCTGTATTTCGGTGTCTGTGGTTCTCAGTCTTTGTGCTTTGAAGTGCCTTCTGTTTTCTCCTGTTCCCTCCTCACGAATTTAACGTCTTCCTACATATGCCTTCATGAGGTAGATTCACCAGTGTGTCAAAATGTGAACTATTAACAGTGTTAATCAGACATGTGTGTAAATTTATATGCACATAAGTTATATTGAAAATTATGTACGAACTTTGTAGTCAGCAGAATATCGTTCACACAAAGGGAAACTAAGCTTGTATTTTTAAAAAACGCATTGAAATTCAGCAAAGTTTGAGAATAATTTTCATTGCCAGAGCAATGACCCAGAATCCTTAGAAAAATATAAAAATGTTGAGCAGAGAGCAGAAAGTTAATCTGAATTTGAAACTTCAGGTTATCTAACCCTAATATTGTACCTGGTTTTTCAGCACGTGTGTGTTGTGCATGCATGTGGGTATACTAAGAATCATGATTCTGTCTGGGTATCCTCAAGACTGCTACAAATACTGTTCAAGTTTAATGACTCACAATACCAAATAAGCGGTCAATGCAGTCTATTGATTTCAAAATGTATACCATCAAATAAGATGAAGCAAAAAAGCTTTTTTCCTCCTGATGATTTCTAGTCAAAGAAATGCATTTTCTAAAAGCTAAAAATAAAAGGCAAAAGCACTACAGTTCTTCCTAAGTGCTTGATGTTAAGTCCACTAAACATTCTCAAATATTGCAGTCGGGACCACATATTAATGGATTATTCACAGGAAAATTATTCACGGAGCTTCAGTGATATATGAAAGTTATCTGGATCTCACCAGTTACTCCATAAATACTTGCTAAATCTGTAAAGTACATGATTCTCATTTTCTTCTAGAGGAAATTGTATCACAACTAAGTGAACTAATTTGTCAATACTCTCATTATTTCAATAACGGGCAGAAATATGACCCAGACTATAATTTTATGATCAGCCTATTTTGGAAGAGGTCATACATAAGCAAAGAAACTATTCAAGTACTTCACTTAAATTCATGAAAGGGTTTCCATCAAATCACTCTGAAAAGTTGAAACAGAACGTAAAACGTGACACATATGTTAACATATAAGCCTGGATTTATAAAAGATTAGGCCCTCAGAACTATTCTTTCTAGGGACTATGTAACATATGATTACAGAAATGGCAGATTTGATCGAAGTGTATTAACTTTAATCAGCTAAAAATATCAAAAGCCGCCATGATTCATTTAAAGCAGAGAGGACAAATATGTTCAGGACATGCTTTAATTTTTAATCAAAGCAATGGTTATGATCGGTTAACATTGCTCCATAGCAATGGTTAGCATTGCTTTTAATCAAGCAATGGTTATGATAATCAGAGAGCCGAAAGAAACATATATTTCTAAACGCAAATTAGTTCCCATTTTCCATGGATGGTTGAGCTTTCTAGATATTTTAAATGTCTTCTTCACTGCAGAATATCAAAATTAAAGCTAAGAAAGACGTGAAGTTATAATATGCTGTTCATGCTGTGCATATTTTTTCTTGTCACAAATTCAAAAGAACATTACTTCAAAGAGGCAGACAATAGTTGTACTTTCTGAAGTCTTTTCATGTATTTTTAAGAGAAAAGAAAACAAAGAAAAAGCATACTTGAACCCTTCCCTGTTCCAGTTGCAAGTGCTTGGTCAAGGGTATCAGAGCAGATTTCTCTAAAAATGTCAGTGATTTGGATGCAGAGTGCCTTAGAAGTGAAAGCTTTCGTTTGCGCCCAGTTCCGAGATACGGACTGGTGTCATGGGAAGAAAAGGTGACACAGGTACTGAATTGAGCCGGATCTATGCTCTGTGGAGTGTCCTTTCTTTGTTTAGGAAAGTCGATCCTGCCTACCACCCACAGACGCCTAGTTACAAAACACAGAAAACAGAAAAGGTACTTATTAAGCGAAAAAGATATGCATTTATACAATTTACAAGGCCTTTGAATGCTGAACTACAGACCTTTTCTATTGTTTCATAACTGGCTGAGGTTTAAATATAGTTTGTGCATTTCCCAAAGGGTATCATGTTGCACCACACACTAATTCTCAAGCCCAAGCCATTTGGCTAGCTTCCATTCATTTTGAAATTTTTATCAACTCCTGTCCATTAAGCTCATATCTAAATATGCAAGGACTTGATACAGAGAAAAAACAATCATTTAAGCTGTAGGGAGCCACTCTGAACTCTATAGGACTTTGGTGAACAATTTAGGATGGCATCATTTAATTTCCTCTAACAACAGCAATGACAACGCATCAACAAAAAAGCCCTAAGGATATTTATACTGGCCTTTGGATGTTAAAGAAAAGTTTGGTTATCAAAATGCATGACATGCACATAAATTCAGAGAAAATGTACACCTGAGGTGAAGCTATGAACATCTTGTCCAAATCATCTTTGAGAAGAAAAAACGGACACTGAACATGATTTACAACCTAGCAAAATTCTGCAGCTCGTGACGTCAGGTGATTTTTATATATGGTGTTTCATATCTGTGTGTCTTTTTTTTTTTTTGATCTTTCCATTGTAAATCAGGAAATGCATTGAAAGATGTGAAGAGGAGAGGCTGTCAGACAAATAGATAAACGTCCATGTATATTTTTATGGTAAACTGGGAAAAGAATCCTTCTGACATGTCTTAGCTATGCTTCCATTTATATAACATCCATTTTACGACTCAAGTTTTTTTCTGAATGCGTCTGAATCTCAAGATAACTTTCTACTAATTCAAAATATGTCATCTGGGTTCATACTTGGTGCTCCATTTAAACTCAGAGATATTTATAAAGAGAAATACGCAAATACGGATTTGAAGCTCTATTTGTATTGTGGAAGAGAAGACCTTTCCACAGATTCTATTTCGAGTTGCAAACAGATAAATGAGACGATGTTTTGATCTGATTTGTTCTGATATGTCTGCAGGCAAAATGCTTTTCAAGTCATTGCTGTGGACGGGGTCTGCAGTGGGATTATTCAGTGCCTCTCTGCGGAAGACTGTATTGACTGGCTACAAGCAATAGCAACCAATATTTCAAACCTCACAAAGCACAATGTAAGTAGCAATTCGAGGAATATCTGGCCATAGAGTTTCTCAATGTGGTAAATTTCTCCAGTATATATGTAACTTTACAGCAACTCCTTGGTGTTTATCTATCTAAGAGTGAGCCACGTTATATCCCTTCTGAAAGCTATTCTGCGATACTTATTTGAAGAAAATCACTTTATCTTGAGAGTTTTAGCCCAATATATCAGTTCAAGAATACCTTCACATTCAAGTTTTCATTCCCAAACACCATAAACATCAACGTGAGTTAAGTGAGTGAAAATATTTAGCATTCAATCACTAAACACTTGTATATGTAAGTAAAAGTATTCTGAACTAAAGCCGTGCTGAATTTCGAGACAGCATTATTGAGCTTCCTTTAGTGATTTTATAATCGCAGCTGGAACTGTTTGAAGGGGAGGGTGCAAGACTCAGCATGGAGACTGAAGGTCCCTCCTGGGACAATTCTGGCACAGAAATGGTCAGACGATGCATTCCGGGATCCAGCAAACTCCCCCGTTAGTGCTGTGTCTATATGACCAAGAATGGCTTCTCCACCTCTTTCTCTGTTTTTCTATTCCAACTTTTCTTCCCCCATTCTGATCTCTTCCTGATCTCTATCTTCTCATCACTATTCTTTCATGACCTAATCGATCGTCCCCCCCCCCTTACTTCTAGCAGTATTGTCTATCAAAACATGCAAAACTTTTGGGGCGCCTCAGGGGTGGAGGCCGGTGAGTTAAGCGTCCGACTTCAGCCAGGTCACGATCTCACGGTCCGAGTTCGCGCCCGCCAGGCTCTGGGCTGATGGCCCGAGCCTGGAGCCTGTTTCGATTCTGTGTCTCCCTCTCTCTGCCCCCCCCGTTCATGCTCTGTCTCTCTCTGTCCCAAAAATAAATAAACGTTGAAAAAAAAAATTAAAAAAAAAAAACATGCAAAACTGTAAACGTCACTTTATTGAGTACTGATGCAGGTCATTAAAGATTATTCGATCTGATGCAAGATTATTCTGTTGCAAAACCAATACCGGTTATCATCCAAACTTTTGTCTTCGTATGCTCCTCGGAACACAACTCCTCTACGCCGTGTTAGTCCGAAGGAAGATTCAGAGGCCAACCATGTAAATGGTCAAGCAGAAATATGTAACCCTTTCTCAAACTCACGGACATACAAAACTCTCCTCACACAAGTGACCCTGCAGACCCAAGTATCTTTGCAGAGATTTTGCTTTCAAATCTAGGCAGGAGCGTGGCCATGCACGTGTCTCCTGGGGGCACGTTGAAGGGATTATCTGGGAGGGACACGGATAGGGATGGGACACTTGGGTGTTCAGTCTTTCCTTGCAGTGCCAAATGGTTTTCAGATGGCTGTCCACTTCGCCCTTTCACTCTGTGCTTCAGGTCTCTTTCTACAGATCACCTCAGCACTCCATGTCATTCTGTCTTTTGAAATTTTGGTTACTTGGTATGTGTGAAAATGAGGTCTCATTGTGGTGTTAATGAAAGGAGAGGATTTTTGTTTTTTTTTTTTTTTTTTTTATGGTGCCTGAATGGGAGCAAATACACCAAGCCTTACTCTGGGACATCACTCAGCAGGGAGACCTGTTCTGGGCATATCTGGCTTGGGCAGGAGTGACCCCCCCCACAACACCCTGTCTTTGCCAATCTGTTGATTTCATCATATCTAAATTGCGGAAGATGACAAGAGATTTCAGACTGGCAAAAAAAAAAAAATGCAGTGCTTCTCTAAGGATTATGCCTCTCCTCCTCTCTTACATTGTTTTTTTTTAGGAATGTTTTTAGGGATAAAGTGCTATGAAGTACAGACTTTGTACTTCATTACATGCAGTCATTGGAGTGCCTAAAAATGAGCCAAGATCCTACGTTTATGAGAACAAAGTATTTTTGAAAGAACAGAACGTTAAATTTTAAATCCAAAGTGTTTCTCTTCCTAGATCCAAATTTGCAATGACCCCAAATCCTAGGAACATTCTCAAGAAAACTGTTTCTTTGGAATGTTAAGTTTAGTTAGCCTGCTGTGACCCAGAAGACGAGCATATGAAAAGAAAGGGAAGATGCAAATGTGTCTGTTCTCTGTTGGCATAGAGAAGAACAAACCAGATTTTGCTGCTTGTTTTTCACCCTCTTGAGAAGTACTTGCCATGACAGGTGACTTTCTTACCCTATGCTGAGAGGTCCACGTGTCTAGTATGATAATGTCGCTGTGGTAGTCTAGTTGTTCTTACACATCCTTGTGATTACTGTGTGTCCTTTTGATCTTGTAGTCAGTACTCGTGCAAAAGTACTAATATCGCAATGAACTCTCGTGTATCTGTAATGCAACATACATGCAGGAAGGTCATCAGGCATAACAATCATATGTGAAAGTTAGGTTGACTTCCGTGAAACACAATGGCTGCCCTGATGATACAACTGATCTCGTTGGTTCCTATGAAGAAAGAAATGGTACAGATTGAGAGGAGCTCGAAAGGCTTTGTGTAGCCTAGTTGGATCATTCTAATTCTCTTAATTTTTTATTCTAGGAAAGATAGAAATAGTCCCTTGCAGAAGGATGTAGAAGTATTTTGTTTCTGTCTCTGCAAATACTTCAAGGGTGTGTGAGCTTATGTAAGTGAAATTCTGGATAGTTTACCTGCTATTAATAGACGCAGAAAGGTAAACACGGAGATAGATTACCTCAGGGAGTTTCATTCGGGAGATTAGGCTGCATAAGCGTAAAGTTGAAAAAAAAAAAGACCAACTGGAAAATGCATATAAAATGTTACGTTAAAATGTAAAAGCAAAAATCATGCTACTGAAAGGATATAAAAATATACGTCCTCAAAATGATTAGAAGGAAAAAAGAGAAGTATTAAAATCTCATTATAGAAACTTTTTAATAATGAATCATATTTCAGTAATTGGACTACCTGGAGAATATATGTAGGAGAAGTTTAGAGGAAAGAAACAAACACACACAAAACTCTGTACTGGAATTATTACAGCACTGTGCTAACCACTTGCTAATTCTTTGGTTACTGATTTCCAGCAGTAATAATTGTTAAATGGGGAGACGTTCATACCTGCTTTATGTGGAAATTCCATTGTGTTTGCTGTCTGAAAGCATTATTTGTTTCAGAAGGTCATTGAATATAATAGTTCAAAATATGTAGGCGAACACTTTCTATTTCAATTTAGTGCTATTCAAGGTGACTCCAAAATATTTACAGTGCATTTAGCAAATGGTATACAGTAGAAGATGCTTCAGGGACCTGCCTTAAATCTGTGCTCGCACAGAAGCCCATTCATTCTCCTTAACTTTTATGCTCACACATTGGAAAGGAAGGAATGGCAGAGGCTACGGTTTACTGGGTTCGGTTCCAGCAAGGCCTAAACCAGCTCTCTCGGGGCATTTGCTGTTATTTTGGGTAAAGCAGACTTGAACAGATTTGTAAACTTTAAATTCCTGAAATTGTGAAAAACTGTACTTGCTTCACGTTAATACTTTTTAAACTTCTTTTTCTCCCTTTTATTATTTTACCAAATACATGATCAAGTGTCTGTACAAAGTTGTTAATTTTTATTTCCATGATCCAGCCATATTAAATATGGAAGGTCCTAAAATATGAGGATGTTGCCATGGGGTGAAACTCTTGGGAACCTTGGTCGGGGGAAATGTATTTTGCACGTAGAAGGAATGTGAGTGATTGGGGGCCAACTAGCAGACTTTAAAAGATGACTCCCGGGGCGCCTGGGTGGCGCAGTCGGTTAAGCGTCCGACTTCGGCCAGGTCACGATCTCGCGGTCCATGAGTTCGAGCCCCGCGTCCGGCTCTGGGCTGATGGCTCGGAGCCTGGAGCCTGTTTCCGATTCTGTGTCTCCCTCTCTCTCTGCCCCTCCCCCGTTCATGCTCTGTCTCTCTCTGTCCCAAAAATAAATAAAAACGTTGAAAAAAAAAATTAAAAAAAAAAAAGATGACTCCCTATTTTGTCAACGACCTGCCTTATGCAACCCTCTCCCTTGATGCACAGGCTGGATAGTGAGTTGAGAAGCAGGTGCTTCCCTGTCAGAATTTCAGAAGGCGTTGCAGTTTCCACCGACCTGATTACAACCTTGTGAGAAACCCAGAGAGAGAGGACCCAGCTAGCATCACCTGGATTCCTGACTACAGAAGATACAAGATAGTAAATGTTTTGTTACGTCACTAAGTGTTGGAGTTACACGTTTCATAGCGGTAGGGAATGACACCTGTTTCCTAGAGTAGAGCCACTGTGACAAATAACTACAAACTTGGTAGCTTAAAATGACAGAAATTTATTTTCTCACGGTTCTGGAAGTCAGAAGTCCGAAGTCAAAGTGTTATCAGGGCTGCATCTGGAGGTTCTAGAGGAAAATCTCTCCTCTCTTCTTCCAGCTTCAGGTAGCAATCAGCATTTCTTCCCTCCGTGGCTCAGGACCACATCCCTGTAATCTCTGCCTCCATGGTACCACCACCTCTCCCTCTGTGTTTCTGTTCTCCTTCATTCCTTCCTGTATATCTTATAAAGACACTAGTCATTGGATTTGGTGTTCACTCAGATAATCCAGGATGATCTCACCCTAAGATCCTTAACTTAATTATATCTACAAAGATCCTTTTCTCAAGAGCACCTGGGTGGCTCAGTTGGTTGAGTGACCGATTCTTGATTTTGGCTCAGGTCATGATCCCAGGGTCATGGACTCAAGCCCTGCGTCAGGCTCCATGCTAAGCCTGCTTAAGATTCTCTCCCTCCTTCTGTCCCTCTCCCCCACTAGCGTTCTCTCTCTCTTTTCCTGTCTCTCTCTCAAATAAAATAAAACATCGATCTACGTGTCTGTTCTTGTGCCAGTACCATACTGTCTTGATGACTACAAGCTTGAAGTCCAGAACTGTGATGCCTCCAGCTTTGGTTTTCTTTTTCAACATTATTTTGTCTATTTGGGGTCTTTTCTGGTTCCATACAAATTTTAGGTTTGTCTGTTCTAGCCCTG